AATTATTTTGAGCATTGAAATATGTTAGGACTAAAAAGTAGAACATATACTGTAAGTTTCATATCAATCCAAGCGGAACTTCCAGTTTTAGGGGTCTTTGAAAATTGTTTATGGGAGTTTCTATGTTAAATTGAAAACAGTTGTGGCACTTTTTCTCTTATAATAATCAAGATATTCTTGTGAGATTTTAAGTGTAGAATGACCTTGATACGGTTCCGACCTCATTAGGTCATTAAAAGGAAATATGAAAAATAAGGGATTTCTAGGGGCCAACATTGAAAACATACTTTTTCCTGAAACTTTTTTTATTTCTCAATGAATTTTTAAACAGTTTCCTATTCTGGGTTCAGATTAAAGAGATCAATCTAACAAGAGGCCCATTGGCCACATCGCTCACCTGAGCACATTGGCTAGGCAACAGCACAAATCAGTTCAGTATTGAAATTATTACGGGGGGGGGGGGGGGGGGGGGGGGGGGGGGGGGCTGGGGGGGGGCTTGAATTTTAAACTACCTGATTGTAAAAAATCTTCTCAAGTACAATTTCCTATATGAATATGACTCATCATGGCTTTGCTGTTCTTGAGAAGAAGATTTTTAAAAAATTTCCTATATATTTCTATGTAAAACTGTGATCCTCCATTGTGGCCCCGCCCTACCCCCGAGGGTCATTATTTGAACAAATTTGAATCTACACTACCTGAGGATGCTTCCACATGTGTTTCATCTTTCCTGGCCCTGTGGTTCTTGAGAAGAAGTTTTTTAAAAGATGCTATTTATTTTTCACTAATTCTTTATTATCTCCCCTTGAAAGAGGGCGTGCTCCTTCATTTGAACAAAGTTGAATCCCCTTCACCCAAGGATACTTTGTGGCAAGTTTGGTTGAAATTGGCCCAGTGGTTCTTGAGAAGAAGTCCAAAATGTTAAAAGTTTACAGACAGACGAACAGACAGACAGACGGACAGACAGACAGATGGACGCCGGACAAAAAGTGATCAGAAAAGCTCACTTGAGCCTTCGGCTCAGGTGAGCTAAAAATTATGGTCCATGGGGTCACTTTTTGACCCCTTAAAGGAGTTACAGAGGACTGAAATAACATATTTTTATTTATTTCAAAAATAATGGAGGAAGAGTTATCTCCCTTTGCACATCTGTTGACAGGCTTACATACTCTTTAGGTTGGTATGCATATGACAAGTACTTCCGGTTTTATGAATGTCTGAATTTGTCTATGGGAGTTCCAATGTTAAATGGAAAATTGCACATGTCTCGATATCTCTTAAAGTAATCAAGATATTTTTGTGAAAATTGAGTGATATAATGACTGTGATATTGTTTCAACCCCATTAGGGTTTGAAAATGAATTTCTGGAAAATAAGGGATTTCTAGGGGCCAAAGTTGAAAACTGACCTTTGCCCAAAACTTCATTATTTCTCAATGAATTTTTGAACAGTTTTTCTATTCTTGGTTGAGCTTAAAGAGTACAATCTAAAAATTATGGTCCGTGGGGTCACTTTTTAACCCCTTATAGGAATTACAGAGGACTGAAATAAAGTGATTTTTATTTATTTCAAAAATGATTAAGAAAGAGTTATCTCCCTTTGTACATCTGTTGGCTGGCTTACATACTCTTCAGGTTTCAAGTTTGGTATGCATATGACAAGTACTTCCGGTTTTACGAATCTCTGTATTTGTCTATGGGAGTTCCCATGTTAAATGGAAAAATGCACATGTCATGATATCTCCTAAACTTAACAAGATATTCTTCTGAAAAATGAGTGATATAATGGCTTTGATATTGTTTCAACCCCATTAGGGTCTGAAAATGAAATTTGGAAAAATAAGGGATTTCAAGGGCCTAATATTGAAAACAGATTTTCCCGTGTAACTTTTTAATTTCTCAATGAATTTTTGAACAGTTTTGTATTCTGGGTTGAGTTAAATAGTACAATCTAAAAATTATGGTCTGTGGGGTCACTTTTCAACCCCTTAAAGGTGTTTTAGAGACCTGAAATATAGTAACTTTTAGTAATATCAAAAATAACAATGTAAGAGTTATCCCCCTTTGCAGGGCTCTAGTGAGAAAAACATAGTCTTTAGGTTTCCATTTTTATCTGAAGACTTGATCCGGTCTGATTATTTTTTTTATGTTTTTCATTTTGTTAGCGTTATCGCTCTTTAAGGTCCTTGAGATTTAAAGCGTCGAAAAGCCCTTCGTTTTTGTTGAATGACAAAAAAGGTCTAGTTAAGGTCTTCCATCTCAACGGAAGACCTTCTTATTATTCTGTTGTTTCTTTTCAACTTTTTTTATTATTATTATTCTTACCAATTTTGTGCACGCGATTTCTTGTAAATGCATGGATGGATTTTCATGAAACTTTCAGGAATGATGAACTTAAGACATTTTTATTTTTATTTTGATGATATCACTTCTGGTCGCGAGTTATTTCCGATTTTCTTTATTTATATTGAAATTTTGTCTGGGTCTCTCCTCTAAAATGGTTAAAGACAGAGTCATGAATCTTACTGGGATAATAGGTCATGATCTGTAGATTTGTCTCCGGTGTTTCTTTTTTTCCGGCGTCACTTCTGTTGTCCACCGGAAGTAGTTTAAAAATATGCAATTTTTTTTTTTTTTTTCATTTTTAAATGTTTATAACATTGACATATATAGTGTTTCGAGTCATTAGTGTACTTCTTAACCGGAAGTTGTCCAAAAATCAGTATTTTTCATCCAAACTTTCAGGAAAGATTTGTACACACTCACTGTGGAGTTTTAAGTCATTTTGAGCACTTCTTGTCATACCGGAAGTGAATTTAAAAGAACCGGAAATGGGTTGAAATTAAAAGATATCACTCTTTCATGTGTTTCTGAACATATTTTGAATAATTCAATCGCCTATTTTATTCAAATATACTTGTTCTTCCTTTTCTTTTCTTTTTGAGTAAATCTATCACAGTCAACATCGTAAATCAGAGGGAAAACCTACTCGTTGCTTTGCAATGAGCTTTGCTCTACTTATTATTATTATTATACTCAACACTTTTTTTGTTTCGATTTTAAGGAGTATCTCTGATAACAGGGATTTTGTTTTGTAACTACTAAATAGCAAATGTAAATGTCTCGCATATGTAAGGTTTTGGACATAAGGTTTCGACACTTCCGGTTTCTACCAGAGAAAAACCAGAATACCTAAAGAAGCTAAAATCTTTCTCATTTTGAATGCTGAATCTCCCAAATTTAAGAGATAAATTCTTGACACCTATACCTACAGAAAAGTAAACGACAGTGATTTTGAACAAAGATACTTTTTGAGATATAAGACTTCAAACATTGAAAAAGGGGGGACGACATTTTTTAAATTGTACTTTTCACACTAAACTCAAAACTGAAATTGGCTTTAAGATTGGTTATTAATTAAAAAAGTTATGGAGAAAAAGCTGTTTTTTGCACAGACCCCCATAAATCCCTAATTTCTTTGGATGTTGTTTTCATGACCTAATCACCTGAAGATAATGCCTAAGTAATTATTCATCTAAAATAATACAAGAATTGCTTGCTTCGTGTTTGAGAAATTGGAACATGCATGATTTAAATTTGACATGGAGACTCCCATAGACAATTTTTTGAGACTAATAAAACCGGAAGTACTTTTCAGATGGCTACCAAAATAGAAGACTAAGGAGTATGTAAGGCTCTTAAGAGTTATGCAAAAGGAGATAACTCTTACGTGTTCATATCTGAAATTGCTAAAATTTACTATATTTCAATTCTCTAAAACTCCTATAAGGGGTCAAAAAGTGACCCCACGGACCATAATTTTTAAATTGTACTCTTCAAGAACAATTCAAAACCGAAATCAGTTTGAAGATTGGTTAACAAATGCAAAAGTTACAGGGAAAAAAACTGATTTTTGTACTGGCCCCTAAAAATCCCTAAATTTTTGAAATTTTCTTTTCATCACCTAATCACCTGAGATTTGTTTGTTTGTTTGTATGTTGTTTAACGTCCCTCTCGAGAATTTTTCACTCATATGGAGACGCCACCACTTGCCGGTGTAGCCAGTGTCATATAATGTATTGAACCCCGCGATATTTTGAACCTGGGTTCAAAATATCGCTGCGAAATATTGAACATCCCTAAGAAATATTGATCCCGGGGTTCAAAATATTATGGCCATAGTATTTTGAACCCAGGGTTCAATATATTATAGCCTTATGGCCATAATATTTTGAACCCGGGGTTCAATATATTATAGCCTTATTGCTATAATATTTTGAACACTGGGTTCAATATATTATAGCCTTATGGTCATAATATTTTGAACCCCATTACAGACATTCTCTGTTTAAAGCATGGAGGTTCCTAAGATTATGGCATTGAAATGTACCTCCTAATTTTAAATTTTTTTTTTTGGTAGGTTGGGGTGGAGGTTTAAGATGAAAAGAAGAAAATTTTAATTAGAATTTTCTTCTTTTCATCAAGGGCAGATAACTCTTCAAAAAATGGCCGGCTTCTTATATGATATCAGTCATATGAATATGGTTCATTTCGCTTTCATCTTTATCTAGCAAAACATATTTTTAAAACTAGTTTAAAATAATTCAAAATTGTTCAATATTCCTTCATTATACATTCAAAACCTTAACAGAAGAGTTCGACTTAGAAAAGATAACTCATATTGATTAGATGAGTAAAAAAGAAGACAGATAACCAAGAGGTTCCTACAATTCCTTGTTTATCAACAGGTGAAGGAGATGTTTACCCTATATGCATTTTTAACATTTTGGGTGTGTTATATACAAAGTACTTGTGATTTTTTTTTTTTTGGAGCTTCCCCCCAATTTTGAAGGTGTGTACTTTATCTACAATGATGAGTGATACACGTGTGATGTACTTCACAGTAGTTTTGCTGTAAAAGCCCATTGAATTCAAGGTTTGTCATTTATTTCCTACAGACACTGAATATCGTGCACAACATTTTAAATGTACTGTTCTCACCTGGCCCAAACCAAATGTCTTTTTGAAATTGAGGAACATGTCATACACCAACACCACTCCATCATCCTGCACAAACAATAGCTCTTCTGTGTGAGACCAGCCCATCTTGTGGATTTTACCACTGTTCCACTGTTAAAAGAAACACTTCTAAGTTTATTTTAAAGTTTGACCTTTCATTCATCTGTCTGTTTGGTAAGGACTTCAAGGAGGAATTCTTGTTTAGTTTCCAGCTAATGAAAAGAGTCAAAGTATAATCGCATCAATGATTTTTTTTTTGGGAGTTCAACATTACCGCTTCATTGCGAAAAATTTCAACTCATTATCGCTACATTTTCTCAAATTTTCAGGTGATCATTACTGCTACATTTTATCAAAGGGACTAATACTGAAAACAACTCACTACTGCTACATACCAATCGGCCAGCAATGGCACGGGATATGAGTTCCATTCAATATAATTCACTCAAAACTATTGTTGATGTCCCTGGCATATTCTACTAACTAAACAGTGATTCCTTATATTTCCATGTCATTGTGAAATAAAATTGTAAATTTAGATTTTAAAAATGTAGACTAATAGAATTTAAATTACACGAGGCCTCACATGTCAATTTCAATAGTCCCCGCCCACTGACGTCAAACACAAAGGCAGCCACATGAGATTTACACGCATATTAGGCCTCCACAGCGTCAGACACAAAGACAGCCACACGAGAATTACATGCATATTAGGCCTTCTTAGCTCCTGACCTTTTGCTTGGCAAAATTTACATTCTGGTAGAATGATCAAGAAATCAACTACACTAACTTTCAAAGAGTTATCACAGAGAAAACAAATAGAAATGGAAATATAAATCTGTCATCAATTTAGTGTCACCCAGGCAAATGAATGTCATGGCTACTATTGAGAAGTTTGTGACAAATCACGGCAATGCAGGATTAGTTATCAAAGGATATAATTTCGTATAAACAAGATCCTCCGGGAAGAAATAAAGCAGATTTTAAATAAAAAAAAAAAAACCATCCTGCTCAAAGTCATACTTTCACCTCCCCGTGGTGAGCAGGGAAACAGGTCTTATGCATGTATATATATATATATATATATATATATATATATATATATATATATATATATATATATATATATATGTATATATGTTGTACTGTACACGCATTAGACACTCACTAAGGAAAGGGGCAATGTAGCAGTAATGTATACTTTTAAATATAGCGGTAATGTATCCTTTTTTGTAGCGGTAATGTGCATGTAGCAGAAATGAAAATTTTGAAAATGTAGCGGTAATGATACACACCCTTTTTTTATATTGAGATATTGGGCATTTTAAAGATTGGATTTTCTTCCCCTTCAAACAATTGAACAACTTGTCACAGAAATGGAAAACTGAGTCTAAAGTCTAGCATAAACTACAAGAGGCCCAAGGGCCTTAACGGTCACTTGAGTATAATACAACAATTTAGAGGATCCAAAGAGTATAAAAATAAACTGATAGATGAAGCTTTGTTGCCGAAAAGCAAGACAAATAGGATGATCATGATCAATGTAATAATAAGTCTAGTATTCAGCAACAATTAACTCATAAATTAAATTCTATTCTATCCTCTATTCATCCCTATGGTGTGTTCCCTGAACATCTTCTGGACAAAACCAACATCTAATTATCACACTCAATTAAGGGGCCCTCTATGGGGCACAGGTAGAGTTTACCTTAATGAACTAACTATACCTGCATTTATTGAATGAGTAATTTTACAGCAACATTTTATTTTTTGTATCTTTAAGGCATCACTTTTGAAATACGGTTTCAGCATGGAAAGATTGATAAAAAATATTTTCTATTTTACATGACTTTTTTTCAGAGGAAATGTGAAAATCTTGAAGATTTTATCCACTGGTTTAAAAAAAAATACTAAAAAATAATGTGTTTTATTTTCATAAATAATTTTTTATCAAAAAATAAAAATAAAAAGTTTGACTTTTCTTGACATATTTTATTAGATATTTATATTGTGCATTTATTCACGACAAACTTCGAACTCTAAAGAACAAGGAATTATTTCATCTTGGAATAATTATTTGACATGGAATTCAATTAAATTTTCATTTTTGCTGTAGCTGCAATGTTAGTGATAATTTTTTCATGAAAAAATATTTTTTATTGTAGAAACTGTATAAATGGTAATATTTTCATCTTTATCAAGAAAAGTTATGTTTCTATGTATGTTTTCATTATTTATATTGTTTGTTTGTTATTTTATTGTTAATTGTTTATTTGTTCATGTTTTTTTTTATTATTGGGAAAGGCCTTCTATGTTCTAGTTTGTTGTCACACATGCGCAGAAGGGTTAGTCCATGCCAGGCATGGACTAACCCTTCTGCGCATGTGTCAATATTTTGCTTTCTATATATTCTGTATATTTCTGCAGTCAAACGACATCACTACATAATTGTTGAAGTGTTTGACTCTATACTGAGCTACGATCGCATCGACATCGCTAAAATTTCCTACCGAGTTGAAGAAATCCTTTTATCACTGTCAGCAATGCGTAGCCTTAGGTTTTCATGAATGAAGATTTCATATACCGATTTCCTGAAGAAATACCTCGCGGGGAACGAAAATATATACCAATGCACATTCAATACGATAAATGCAAACATATTTTTACAGTTGTAAAAGTTTAAATCCAACAAATAGCCAGAGAAAGGCATCCAGGTCAACACTGCCAATACACTACCAGACTACATTTGTTCGACGTCATCTTTCGAGGTGTGATATCACAGGTACACTGTTTTTCCTGAACTTTCTGTGGCAAAATGGCGAATAGGCAGTGTACGTAATATAAGGCATTCTGTCATTGTAGTACAACACACAAACTTAATTCATTTAGCAAAAAGTTTTATTTAACCAGGGTAATCAAATATCACAAGAGGATGTGAAAGTGGGAAGTGTTTAGTACGGAAAACAGGCTCCAAAGATTTGAAGATCCATGATCCGCCCACTTGGTTCACCACAGCTAAGAGGTGCAGATTAAGTGTGCACATCTCGAGTTTTCAAGTCATTGTGACGTCACATTCAAGAGTAGCTTTATTTTATGACAGGGAAGATAGTTTTGATATCATGTTAATAATTGCTTGTATCTTTCGTATTTTTTTTTTTTAAATAAAAAGATTAATAACATTTCAAAATTCATTTAAAGAAAAAGTTATTCCTCAAATTACATCCTACAGGACGACTTATTGAAAGGGGAGGGGTGGGGTGCTGGCATATTTTAGAAATAGGAAGAAAATAAATAAGGGGCCAATTTGATTGGGGGGGGGGCAGATTTTGGAAATAAATAATCTGCCCTTGAGAAGGTTGGAAATGAATACTGTAAATTCCATATTTTACGCAAGTACTTAATATTGCAAAGTGGCCCAAGGGCGTCAAACCGCAAGAACAATAATTCGCGAATGGGTGATTTATCTTGAGATTTTACATACATTAAAGCACTATAAAAATAAAAGCGAGTAATTTTATTTCGCGAGTGGTGCTTCTCGCGTAATTACGCGATAATTTATTCCTCGTGTATATTTAGGAATCTACAGTAACCTATCCCCACCTGGCAAGCACAAGATGAAACACTTCCTTTAAGTTTGGCTTAATGGTGGCTTATAGGTCCTTAATGAAGGCTTAATGGTTTTAATTAAGTCACCATTAAGCACCTTTGAGCTACCATTAAGTAATAAATACACCACCATTAATTTACCATTAAGCCATTTCAAAGTCCTTAATGGGTGCTTAAAGGTAGCTTAATGGTGGCTTATAGGTGCTTAATGGTAGCTTCTAGACAATCTTTAAGTCACCATTAAGCCAGACTTATAGGTGCTTAATGTCCAAACTCCATTAAGCTACCATTAAACCACCTTTAAGCCACCATTAAGTCACCATTACCCAGTCGATAAAACTGCTTTTATGGGTTAAATATTATTTTTATAATGATTTCTTCACAAAAATTATAAATGTCGGATTTATACATTTGTTAATTCTGCGAAAATAATGTAAAAGAAAGAAAATTAAAAAATAAAATAAAAATCAAAGGCCTGAAGGCCTGAGAGGCGCATCGCATTGAAGGTAGAAAACTAAAATCTTTTTTACTCAGAAAAATTCAACATACATCTTGAGAGAATGAAAAAAAAATCAGGAATAGAAATAACAAGAGGCCCAAGGGCCTTAACGGTCACCTGAGTATAATACAACAATTTAGAAGTTAAATACACTGATACATGAAGCATTGTTGCCCTAGCCCCCCCCCCCTCCTCAAGAACCCCAAAAACTGAGGCCATATATTCAAAAATTTTGGAAGAGGCATCCTTGTCTATCATAATCATGCACTTAGTTTGTTTAAATAATCTCCAGTAGCAGAGAAGAAGTTTTTCAAAGAATCAATGCATTTTCACTATATAATCAATAGAGCCCCGCCCTAACACCAGAACCCCTGACCCTGGGGCCATGAAATTCACAATTTTTGAAAAGGCATCCCTATGCGTTTAAATAGTCTCCAGTAGCAGAGAAGAAGATTTTCAAAGAATTAATGCATTTTCACTATATAATCAATACAGCCCCACCCTAACACCAGAACCCCTGACCCTGGGGCCATGAAATTCACAATTTTTGAAAAGGCATCCTTATGCATCATAATCATGCACTTAGTTTGTTTAAATAATACCCAGGAGCAGAGGAGAAGATTTTCAAAAAATTAAAGCATTTTCACTATATAATCAATAGAGCCCCGCCCTAACACCAGAACCCCTGACCCAGGGGCCATGGCTTTCACAATTCTGGAAGAGGCCCACCTCCTCATCATAACTATGTACTTAGTTACTTTATTAAATACCCAGGAGCAAAGAAGAAGATATTCAAAGAATTAATGCTTTTTCACTATATAATTTATAGAGCCCCGCCCTAACACCAGAACCCCTGACCCTGGGGCCATGAATTTCACAATTTTGGAAGAGGCACTCTTGCTTATCATAACTATGTACTTAGTTCCTTTATTTAATACCCAGGAGCAGAGAAGAAGATTTTCAAAGAATTAATGCATTTTCACTATATAATCAATACAGCCCCGCC